ATGCTAACTTTGGTGCTGCTTTTGCCGGTCTAGCTCCCCTTATGGCAGTTTATCACTTCCATTACTGCAAAGTCATAAATAAAAAAAGTTTTCTTCAACCGCAAATTTTCGCGTTTTTAAAACGGCAACACCGTACGCGCTGTTACAATTTATTGTACTAAGGAACGGAGGACTCGCTCCGGTATATTTGAATAAGCTTAGTATTAACAGAGAAGCACAACTCTCCACAAGAAAAACTTAAGTGGGGTTTACACGCGGATATCGCAAGTCTGGCTCCTGTGTCAGTATTTTTGTTAAACAATACCACACCAATTTTTGCACACCCATCCTACTGAATACAGATCAAAAAACAACCTGCCAAGGGTATTTAGTAGACAAAGTGGTCGCGTTAAATTAAAGCACATCAAAAATAAATTAATTAATAACTTGATAAATAATAGATTGAAAGCACAGCTGCAGAACAGAGGCATATGAGGAACTATTTACAGAGGAAAATGCTCCTTTAATATCTTCCAAATGTCTAAGTATCTCCACAGGCACATGAAAGAGATTGCATACTCACATTATCGTAATGGAGATTTCACTTAGGAAAACTCCGAGTAAAAGGATGAGGAACAAACTTTTCAAATCATTGCAGAAAATGAAATATGAGGCCGTAGGAATTTAATACCTCAGAATAATTAAAATAAGTACAGTAATAAAATCTTCCATATTGTGTTGCACAAATTTTCCAGACAGTTTGGAGGTTATTAAAACATCAGTCCATTTCAAAAGAATGTATAAAGGATTGTATACTCACAGATGGAAAATATCCTTTATGTGATGGTCTCATTTTTTTTCTGGTCATCATGTGTTTTCATATCAGCAAAAGGCAGACCCACTTAGTGCTGGAACTGAAGGTGGACTGTCTGTAGAGGAACAGACTTGCAATGTCTGAATCCAGTTGGACTGAGTCTGGAACAATTAAACAATAGGCCTTTACTGACACTGTGGCATTGAACTGTTGGCATGGAAAAAGGATATCAAAGGGAAAATTGCTAAGGCCTTATTCTCTGAGGAGCTCTGACCACTCCAGAAAGGATGTTCTGATCTTCAGAATGGAGAATCACTGGACTCTCATTACTTACCTGAGGTCAGAACTATGCGCTTAAATTCTTCCCAAGAAGCAATATAGTGATGCTCCATTAGTAATTTCACTTTCATTAGTGAAATCCTAATGTACCGATCATATATTTTATATATAGTATCGTAGTATGCTTTGCTTTTGTCAGAGTGCAAGTTAACTTGTGGTAGGGCTTGTATAGTGTTATGCTCACACTCACTGGTTTAGGAGTGTTGTGAGCTTGGTCTGACACTGTTGCTCGTTTAAATTGAATGGATACACTTATGTGCTATTATGATGGATGTCTCTCTGGATAAGAGCATCTACTAGATGTCATATACATGATATATGATATAGTATGCAAGAACAGAACTGCTGCTGATAATTGACAGAACATTTTTTTTTCTTGTAGGGTTGGTTCAATATAGGAAAGGACTTACAATAATGTGGACTCACAGTAAGTCTGTCTGTTGAATACAGAAACAGGCAGCATAAAAATGGAAAAGACTAAGAAAACCCAAGAGGGTCTTATGAGCAATTCAGGCTCAGGGATGAAAATTGACTATACTTTTTACAGGATGTTCCAAGGGCTAAAATTATCTTATTACAAACACACCTGAGAAAAATTATAATCAATTAAAAGTAATAGAATCATTACTCCAAGCAATGAATATTTATAGATTTGCAGTTCTGCCACATCCATATACATCTGACTTGGATATCCTCTGATTCAAAGAGAAATATCATCATGGATCCTAACAGAGCTCTATCCTCATGCATTTAGCGTTCTTCCCAATCAGCAATAAAGTTGCAGGTGAAATCACAGAAACCCTGCATAACTGTTATATGTAAAACTTTACAAGTCCACATGTGAACAGGTTACCTAAAATACCTAGAGAGAGAGAGAGAGAGGGGTAATATACAGACCATGTCTGTGTACATGTGGCAGAAGTGTATGAGCGGCAGTATTGAAAATGACAGTTGTGTTGTTCTCCTGCCTGATTAATAGGAATATGTATAATAAAAATCTGTTTGGCTAGGTATGAAGTGCAACGCAGTTTCTCTTTGGGGATTTGTGGTCAGCAGTCACGATGAGTCACTGACATGGATAGTATCCGCCTTTAGAAAAAGCCATTAATGTGACAGCAGCCATGGAGTGGAGGTAGGGGGGTCTGATCCAGTACAGCTGAGCCTTGTGAAGAACACGTTTGAGAACAGACTTTTAAAACAGGCACAAAGGGAGAGGAACCAGAGAACAGTGTGTCAGAAGGGGTTACTTGCCGATTCCCAGAGTCAGATGAGTCAGTCTGCCTTGATGGATAATGCGAAAGTGATTCTTCTGTCCCACGTGAGTGAAATCCCCACTGTGATCTCAGGAGCTCTTTCACTCATACATATCTTTGTATACAATGCCCATAATTCTGACTGATCTTCTATGCCCTGGCCAAAACAAAAAAACAAGGCATTCGTTGCATTCGTTGCAAGTACACAATGAGAACAGAGAAGTAAACACAAAGACTAATGACCTGCTGACTGCAGTTACTTTTCGGTTAGTGAGGAGGCAGGGTTAAAGTACTCAAATTTCTAAAAATAACTTGCATACTGTGCCCAGGTAATGTATTCACTGAGTGCTCTCCATGCTGTATAATGATCTGTATATGTCATTGCATGCTGCAACCTGGGTAGAAAAGAAAGAATAATGTATGTTCAGCAAGTACAGACACTTTGAGTCTTACTGACAAAGCGGCTATGTAGTAGTTAATTACATTTGTTTTATTTACAGTCACTTGTCCAATTCCAACATTAGCTGAATATCAATTCTGTTTAAAAATTTTAGACAAACAAGCTGTACTATGTCTCAAAGGTCTATGTAAGTACGGAATCATTGCTTTGGAAGGTCACAACATCTCCCCCTAATAACAAGGGCACGGTGATACCTCTACATGTTGTAGTGACTGAACAGCATGGTGTGTTATGCATCTTTAATACTAACTTTTTGAATGTACTTGCAATATTTAACTTAGGATTCTAAAGACATTTAAAAAGAAATAAAGTGATAATCTGACTTTTTTATATTTTAGACATCACACTGCGGTTTTTCCTTACTTTTGTATAACTAGTATTTTATTCATCCCACTTGCTGTTGGAAATGTTTGGACTTCATAGATGCGCTCATTGTTACCACAAGCTCCTGTATAATGATGGCCATGACAGGGGTATAAACTGGAGGCTGCCTCCCCCTACCTTTTACCAGCAGCAGGAGCTCCCTGCCACAGGCTGTATTCACCTTCTGCTGGTGGAACATGACAGCGCCAGCAGCTGACAATTCTGATTGAATCCACTGCCCTCTCTCCCTCATTGTGTCCTTGTAATTTACAAGTTGGCTAAATAGCCAGTTCGCTTGGATTTCAGTCTGCTAGCCTTGTGCTTGTTTTTTTTTTCTGCCAGGACTAGAAAGGACAGCTTGTGCTGGGTCTCACTAGTTCAATCTAGTAAGTAGAGGCCTCTGCCCATCTGGCATGCCTTACCCACCTGTGAGGACCAAGGGCAAGTGCCAGGCTGTTGAACACCCCCCTGCTGGCACTGACAAGCATGCAGTGAAGCTCGATCTGTAATATCTTCAGTGGCAGGCTTGGCTAGTAAGTTGGAGACCCTCACCTCCCAGCAGGGAGAAAAAGACTCCCCATCCATGCACTGTCAGGGGCAGCACCTTCTTCTCCTGACTGTGCCATACCTATATTTTACTCAGTAATCCACGGCTCTGTATGGCTCTACCTAAGCTAAGGAAGACTTGCTCTCTATAAATAATTCATTATTCAGATAACAACTCGCTGTGTGACCCCAAACTTCAGTCAGAGTTGTCTGAGGGGCAGTAGCACCCGATCTATCCTTCCTAGATTTCTGTGGTGCAAACGTGAGAGCTAATACCCACTTCAGGAACATGAGGTTCCCCTAGCCCCCATCTTGCCAGATTTTGCTATTTAGATTTGCAGCAAAGTATCTTATCGTCACCTTCCATCAGTGCTGACATACAAATGGTGATTACTCTCATGTGTTAAAAGGGCTGCAGAAGTCAGTTGGAATTCCCTTTCCTCTGAAAAGACAATATTGCTTTTCAAGTAGTCCCCCATTACTCTCATTGGCAGACAGGAGGGAGGAAATAAAGATCTTTTGGTTGACTTCCTATAGTAAATACTCTGCAATTGCAGCGGGGGCTTGTGTTTCCTAATATGTCAGTGATTGTTGCACTCTGTCAACAGTTTTGAAATCACTATTGCCTGGTCCATCCCCTGAGCTGCTGTAGGATTGCCACCTGGGTGTGTAAGTGTACTTATGTTTGGCTAAAGGTAGTGGACTAGTAGGGGTGGCCCTAGCTCCATCCTGGTCCACTAGGCTATACCTCTGGCCAGCCAGTCCATGCTAGCAAAAGCAGATATTAACGTAGCTCTGATTAGCAAAGCTCCCCATCGTCTCTGGTAATATAGTTGGGCGTGGAGCCCTTGACATGCTGAGACAATCCAGGGAGACTAATTGGAATGAGCCAATTCATTCCCAAAGTTTAAATAAGATGACGGAACCATCTCATTTTGAGGCTAGGTGAGAGGTCTCCCTTCTCATGGAGAGTTCAGTACAAACCTCGAAAAACTTCTCAGCACAGCCTGGGCTTCCCTCTAGAGCAGAGGCCTAGTTGTCACACACCAGGCATGTGTAGGCACCGTGAGGCACCAGCAACAATCAGCACCCCATCCCATTAGAATTGAGAGCCCAGTGGTAAGGATTTGTTTTACCCAACTGTCATCTGGTGAAGCTGGGGGCTTACTGGATCTCGTAGTGTTCATGATCTCAGAGGTGAAGCTCGTGTAATTCTGTTGTCCTCAAAAGTTCAATGCTTCAAGGATCCTAGGTAGCTCAGTGGTTAAAGCACTCATCTTGAGCGTGAGATCTACAGCCTAGGTTCAATCCCAGCTGTGTCATCAGCTGACAATGACTGGGAGCCCACAGTGTTGGGGAGAAAATTGGCTTAGTTCCACCAGGAATAGGAGTGGGTGTGTCAGCAGGTGCTGCTCATCTCACCACTCTCAGGCACCCTGTAATTTGTCAGGCACCTGAGAGTTGTATGACATCACTGGAGTAGCACCTAGCCTCCAGTGAGCACCCACTCTCCTTTAGAGTGCTGTTTGACGTGCAGTGCAAAAAAATATTGTATGTCAATTGGAGTGTGTTGGAGGAGTGCATTAATCTTCCTTCAGTGCTCCTCCATGAATATAGAGGTTGTCATGGTGAGAATAGCCTACTATAGTATGCAATTGACAATTCCAAAATAAGGCTGGATAAAGGGGAAATATATATAAAAAATTTCAACACTTCAGTGTCTAGTTCTGCTGGTGTTGAGGTAGTTCCATAAGTCAATCAATTGATGACAGTGTACCTCGGGGATGTCTGGTTTCCCATCTTGAAGATTCTGACCTATCTGAGAATAGCATTTTTACAGGGGGCTTCCTCTGTGAGTCTGTGCATAGTTTTTCTCCACGCTCCAGCATCTGCTACCTCATAAGTGTTATGCTTCAGGGTGCTCCTGCCCCTAGGAGTCTGTTTAGTTTATCTGCTCCTAACTGCAGCATCTGCTGTCATGTCGGTATATTGTTTTGGGATCTAGCTCAATTCCTAAGAACGTATACATAGTCATTTGTCCCTATATAATGTAACCCAGACCTGCTAAGTTACTTGGTATAGGGTGTGTTCTTTCTTGGGATGTGTAAGTATTGCAGCTTTTCTTTACAGTAGAAAAGTGTTTTCTAGCACAGAAAATGTATGTTTACGGAAGTGACCTTGTTCTTTGAGTTGATTATTGAAACATATGACACCATGCATTGTATATGAATGCATCCAGGAAACAGGTTTGCATAAATCAGTAACTATCAATATATTATCTTGGAATCGTTTGCCAGCACTGAGAGGACAGTCATTGAAAAGATGGCTTCTTCAGCACAAATATACAAAATTAAAACAAAGTCATAAAGACAAATTGCAAAGTATCTTCAATGGCTTTCTTTGTATTGTACTTGTGGGTGTGTGTGCAAAGCCGTGAAAGACTATCTTCCGTCAGTTCTCCCATAGACACAAACTTAAATCCCAGATGACCCACTGCACCAGACTTCCCTCTCTAATTAACAGCTCTAGGACATACATTTGTTGTTTCTTATACTTAAAAAAAATCCTAACTCTTGTTTTCTTGTGTCAGGAGAAAAGAAAGCTTGGGATAAATTATGAAGATGTTTCATGGTCTCATGAATCTCTCATATTTGCCCCATCGCACTCAGTTTGAGATTACATTCATAAGGGAAATTGGCAATATATATTTTTTAAATACAGTCTTTGTTGTTTTTTACTGCAAAGTACATTGATACTTTATTTCTCAATGCTACTGCCTGTAATAGATCCAGGTTTTCTTCATATCTGAAAGACAGGGCATTAAAAGCTTAAAAGCAGGTACACTGAAGAGTCTTTGTGCTAGCTTTCACCTCAAGTGCACATAGACTTGAGTGCTCTGGTGCTCATTGGCATGAAAGCTTTCCCAATGGATTCATAATGGAAAACCTAAAATGGATCGAAGGTCAAACTAGAGCCTGTACAGTGTACCTCTTTTTCCTGTGGTTCTGGTAAGTTTTCTGTAGAAAATGACATACTTATGCATATTTACATTCACTGTGTCTTAAATTGTGGATGCATTTTCAAATGCTATGTATGGTATTCAATTAAAAAAAATAGAGCAAAATTTTTTTAAAAAATGCCCAAGATGTGGAGCTGGACATTCTACTTTCACTGTTGGCTGAACAATAGAGTAATAGATGAAAAGGCCTTCAGCTCTGAGCTGTCCAAGTTACCAGGCAGAACACAGTAAAATATATAATATATATATTTTAATTCACAAACACACGCACTCACATATGGCTTCATAGAGGACATATGCAGATGAAGCAAAAATGGTGTGCTACCTGCCGTGGAAATTTTCCTTCCATTTTCCGTCAGAAAATGCTCTATAAATGCTCTTGTGAAATCAGCTTTCTGCTGGAGGTGTGGAGAAGATGCTGCTCAATGGAAGGCATGGTGAGGGCAGAAATATCACTCCTGTCCAATTTTTTTTCTGGAGTAGCTTTTGATCTTTTCCAGTACACAGATTTCAAAGACACAGAAATGTACATTTCTGACATTTCCTGAAGACTGGCCACTGAAAGTGAGATAATTAGCTAGCTTTCTATAGTGCTGGCTGCACCTGTAACATTCCTGATTCTAAATACCACAGAGAAGTTAACTCACTGATTGGATTCTTCATATGTCAGTCACGGTGCTGATTCTTTTTTGGTGGTGATTAGAGATGAGCCATTAAATAGAAATTCTTTCACAGCTGATCACCTAATTCCGTATTTTGCCATTTGATGGATGTAAAAATGACCAATCGTCTCCTTTTTCACAGTTGCTATTTGGCTTTGATTGACAGCAATTTCAGTCCATTTGCTGAATTTGACTTTGTCTGACATGGGACTCATGACAGCAGTACACTGTAAAGTTGTGCAAGTATGTCTCCTGTAGAGGTGGCCTGGAATTTAAAAATAAATAAATAAAATAATTGGAAGAAGAAGAAAAAGAAGGTGAAGAATAAGAAAAATGTGTAAGTTTATAGTAATAAAACTACCTTGTGGACTTTTAAGGTACATTAATGAATCATGCTGCTCAAGTTGTGGAACCTCAGCAGAGAACCACTTGATAGGAAGTGATTGCTCAGCTAAGCACTAAGGTGCTAAGCACTGAGGGGCAAAGTCAGTGCAATTGTAGAAAATCAAGGCCAAGTGGCCTCTGCCTGCAATTTCACCCATAACACATTCTGTCTGGTGTATGTTTGCCTTTTGAGTTTCAGATGGACATGGAGCTCTGAATGAACTCTGACCCATTCAGGTATACCTGGAGGCCATGTTAGACCTTGGGGAAAAAGTCAACAGTTTAAGACATAGATGATACCTGCATCTACACTGAAACTCCTAAAGTAGTATAGAATGGAATACTTGTAGTTTTACCAACCTGTGTTGTATTTGCTATTCAGGTGTGTGAGGAAGACTGGCAGAAAGATAGCTAAAAGTGTTTTTTTAAATGCTTACAAATTCCTGTTGTCCATGTGTAAGAATGCATCTTAATCAAGGGAAAGTGATAAGGAGGTTTATATAACAGTAGATAAAAGGGGGAAATGTTAGAGATGGAATGTCACACAGAATGTATGTTCTGATCTCCTGTCTTTGTAGGAAGTTCCCATTGGTGCAAATAATGGTTAACATTTACATTCACATTTAAGTGTTAACATTTCATGTTGTGCAATACTCTGCCAATTTGTCAGGGATCTGTCTTACTAGGATTTAATTTATAGACCTTTCTGTATCTGTATATGTATATATGCAGTAAGTATATACATGCATGTTCAAATGCAAACCATGTACCAGACCAGTGCTGCTGTTTTTGCCATACTAATTTTCTTCATGTAACTTGTCACCAGATGCAGCGACAATGGTGAAGGGGGTAATTGAAACAATGCCTTAGGAACAATTTCAGCCCTTTTTCCCTGTCACACAGCTTAAAAGATATAGAGCACAAGAGGTCTTTTCTCCTGAAGAGCTCACAGCAAAACCTGTAGAGACATGCAACTTTGACATTGTGTGGTATGGTAGAAATTGGCATAGAGGACTAATTCCCGATACCCTTTTAAGGACAGCACTTAAAGTGGCCAACCTTCATGCATATCTAGAATTGACACAATCATTGCTTTTGTACCTTTTAACTGTCTTTGTGGATAAAAGGCTTATTAGCCTGAATGAAACTGAGCATTGTTGCAGCTGATTTTTTGTGGGACACAATGAGCAACCTGAATGATCTTGTATAATACATAACACTGCTGAGTTATTCAGATATTCTTATATGTATATAAACTGAAAAAAAACATAAATAAAGATGCATAAATACTTAGTAATGTCTTAGTGTGTATTGTTTGCTAAATGTTTGAACAATATGAACATGTTTTTACTGATCTGGTCCCATGTGCAGGGTAGATAAAGTCCCAATCTCTTTCTGAGAATGTATTATGTGAAAACAATATTTCAACCCATAGGTTCATGTCACCTGTCACCACATAAACATGGTGCTACCTGATGTACTCTGGTGATGGTCCGAATGGTTTTAACCATAAAGGGTTTTCTGCTAGGGATAAAGGATAAGGGATTTCTACTATCCAGAACAAACACAAAAGTTGATTTTATATGAGACTAACTGTAAAATCAAGCTTGTTCAATCTTTTTAGAACAAATCCACATTAGAAAGAACCACATTAGAAAGAGCACATTTAAAAATGTATGCATCAAAACAATTCACCTGAACTGCACTTGATTCCTCTCTTAATATCTGTGCTATGTCTGCATGAAGAAACATTTTGCTATTTTGCTTCTTAGTGGCCTAATACAGCGTTTCCCAACCCTCTCCGGGAGGACCCCTTGTCCTGCATGTTTTAGATCTCTCCCTGCTCCAACACTGATTTAAATGATCAGTTTGTTATTAAGCAGCTTCAGGAGTTCATAATGAGCTGATCATCAGCTGTGTTGGAGCAGGGAGAGATATAAAACATGCAGGACAAGGAAACGCTGGCCTAATAAACACCTATGCACAGACTGATTCTATATACAAAATGTATTTTATTACTAACAGCACTCTTATTTAAATAATGAGAACAGTGCACCTGTTGTATTTCAAAATGCAAAGTAAGCTAGTTTTGATATGCAAACCAAATATGTCCACTGATAATCTGGAGAACTGAAATGGCTGAACTAAAAAGAATGTTTACCAATAATTACAGACCTTTTTGCATCTGATACAATGTGCATTATTTCATTAGTTGGATAAATATGGAAATTCATATTGTCTGCATCCACCAGGACAT